GCGTTAGTGGAGTGGTCGTGGTAGTGGTAGTGGTAGTGGCGGCGGTAGTCGTCGTGGTGGTGGTGGTGGTGGTGGTGGTGGTGGTGGTGGTGGTGGTGGTGGCAGCACTAGTGGTTGCAAAACTACAACCCGAAACAGAAGAAATTCGACAAGATAGCATAAGTGGTCTTTTCTGTCTTCGTAGTGGCGCGTGGCGAAACGAATCAGGTGGTTCAACATGACAGCACATCCCCGTGCAACGAAGACAGCTGAAAGAGCAACGTGGAAATAGGCCACCATGGTCAAGAGGCGAAGAAGTTCAGCAACAACGCAAAACTGGGAAGCCAGTCTCGATGACCCTCCCACCAGACCCCCCCCAAAAAAAAAAACAGAGGTAGCTCTCGAGCTGTGTTGAGCCCAGCAGTGGCTAATGCACCCTGAAGCTTCTCGAGACATAAATGGGCAAAAAGAACATCAAGTTGTGTTTTTGTGCTTCTTTGTGCATCGTTTTCTTTCGAAACGCCTCTACTCACAAGTGTTTGGTTTGCTTCTGCCTGAAGCATTTCGATACCTTTCGAAGCATTTCGAAAGAAAACGATCCACAAAGCACACAAGACACAGCTCGATGTTCTTTTTGCCCTTTTATGTCTCGAGAAGCTTCAGGGTGCATTAGCCATTGCTGGGCTCAACGCAGCTCGAGAGCTATCTCTGTTTAGGCGGGGTGGTTTGCCGGGGGGGTTAAGAAACCTATCGGTGAAAATGAAACCCCCAGCCCTAAGCTCCAAACTCTTCATGTCCTTATTTTCCTCTTCTTTCTGAAACTCTCAACGCCTTCAACCCTTATGAACCTCTCAAGCGATGCTCGAACCCTTGTGAAAATCCGTCCGGCAGCACGCACCTTCCTGGACACAGCGCTTTCCCAAGCGCACGTACCAGCCTCAGTCATTGAATTACGGCTTTTGTTGGCACGTAGGGTTTGGAGTGTACGGGTTTAGTTGGGATTCAGGGAATTTAGAGTTTTCGGGTTTGGGGAAGAGGGCTTAGTGAAAGATTCGGGTTGTTCATGTCTCCACAATGCAAGCACTGTCAAGATAATGCTAGTGCTGGTGGTGCTGAGGACGCTTACGACCTGGAGGAGTGCTACTACCCCTAACCGTGGACCCTAGACCCTAAACCCTAAACCCTAACTGTCACCCCACGCCGTCAACTCTAAACCCTGCCGGTCAACTCTAAACCCCAACCATAAAACCTCAAATCCTTAAGCCGTGGAGCCTTGAGAACCTCTGTCAGTGGGCCCCCAACATCCTCAGCCCCAAACCCTAAGCCCCCTTACCCTAGCATCCTCACATCCCAAAATCCCAAACCCCAAGCCCCCAAAACAGTAGCATCCTCACCACAAACCCCGAAACCCCCTAAACCCCTGCAATCTGAAGCGAGAAGTCGAAAGCCGCAGGAAGGCGCTGGGCCCGAGAAGGTACTTCTCTAAATTAGGGTCCCGTCTGGGGTGCTTTATGTAAGGGTTTAGGGTTTAGGGTTTAGGGTTTAGGGTTTAGGGTGTCGTACTAGTTTGGGGGGACCCAAAAAGGGAGCCTTATTTGCAGAACTACCCGCGCAAGGCTCTGAGGGCGAGTCGGTCCCCTGGATTCGTCAGTGACCTGGGAGATGGTTTTCGACGGTTTACGGTTTATACTCTCACAACTCGGACAAGCCAGGCGAGGTCTCACAGAGTCTGGTCGCTCTTTTACTTCACTGCAACTGCCCTTTGCGGTTTAAGGTTTAGGGTCTGCCAGCCCTGATCTCAGAACTAGTATACGGCTCTTTTTGCCTCCGGCATGGCTGAGCGAGTCGCGAAGCAGAAATGGATTAGGGTTTAGAGTTTGGGGTTGAGGCGCCAGGGTTTAGGGCTTGGGTTTAGTGGGGAGCTGAGGCGCTTGGGCTCAAGAGCTTTATGGTGTTCGAGCTTACAAGGGCGTTTCAGGTTGATTATCTTGGAGCGTCTCAAGTTAGTTGTTTTGGGGGCAAGTGTCACATTAAATTACTTGAAAATTAGTTTTTGCATTTCAGAAAATACACACAGGAGAAACAAAAAGAGCTATGGTGGTCCTGTCATTCTAGGGTCTAGGTGGAGGGGCCCCCTTGTTGCCTGAAACTCCCAACTTCTGCAAACTGCCCTGCGGCACGCAGGGACTTTTCTCCGCACGCTTTGGAGCTGCGTGTCAGCGTTTCGACGATTTGACCCGCGGCTCCGGGACCTCTGGCGGGGCTTGAGGGCCCTAAATAAACCCTAAGCCCTAACATGTGAGAGTCTAAACCAAGAACTTCCAGAAGTCGGGAAGGCCTCGTCGGAATCCCAAGCATCCGGGACCTCGACCTCCACCTCCACCTCGCTTCAGGGCTTTTAGGCTGAGGGTTGAGGGTTTAACGCTTAGAGTTTCGGTTGTAGGTTTGGGGTTTAGGGTGGAGGGTTCAGGGTTCCGGTTTTAAGTTTAGGGTTTCGGTCTTAGGTCTAGTGTTGAGGTTTTAGGGTTTAGAGTTTAGGCTTGAGGGTTTGGGGACCTCCACCTCCACATCGTCGTTTGCTTCTCCCACGCTGGCGTCGCCCCCGGCTGAGCCACCATCCTCTTCCTCGCCATCATCGCCCTCGACAGTCTCCACCTGCTGGCTTGGGGGCACCATTAGCCAGAAAAAGCCTAAACCCTAAACCGCTTACCATTCCTTACCCCTCTGCCATCCCTCTTTCTCTTTTCCTGGTTTTTCAAATCCATAGCACCCGAGACTCGAAATACGAGTACCTCCCTCTAGGGTCTCCTGCCTGCTCTGCAAAGAGGCGACTCAGCTCCTGCGCCGTGTCGAGCATCACGGGCGTAGGCGTGGTCCCCACGGATCGATCCACGAAGCTTGCAACGAGGCCACGCAGGCTTTGCAATACGTCTGCAACTTTCACATCCACCGCGACATGGGATTTTGGTGAGAGCTCGAAGACCACACGGCGCCCTCGGTGTACTTCTTTCAGTGCGGGAGCGAAAAGAAGAAGAGGGGCCAGGCCGACCACAGTTGTGTCATACATGAAACGATCCGTGGTCTCTTGGATCTCATAGAAAACCACTTGGGTCCACTCCTCCTTGGAATTGACACTGCCTTAGCTTTGGCAAGTTGGCCATCTGGGGCATTCTGTGTCTTTCAGATGGTCCGCAACCATCGGTGCTAGGCTCTACAGGAAGGGCAAGCCTGTCTCACAAATGCAGCGAACCAAAAAATACATGATCCGGCTCTTGATGAAAAGATCCTGTGCGGGTTCCTTACATGAAAGATCCTACTACAGTATATCCTACTACTTAGGGGTCTATTTTCCGGCTCCCTGTAGTCTCAAACTCCCATCTCGAAGCTGCCTGGATGGACCACGACTGGCAAGCCCTGGATCGTGTGGCCCTTGCCCCGGCGACGCAGAAGTGACACGTTGGGGTAGAGACCCGCAGTCAGAACCGCCTTGCAGGAGTCTGTCAGAAGGACCGGGTCCGCATGATCCTGCGTGCGATGATCCGGAGACACCCCCACACTCGCAGATCAGAAAATTCCGACAAGTGTGGCAGTCGGCAACTCCACATTCCCGCTGCGACTACCAGCACTGCTCTTGCTGCTAGGATGGCTTCAAGCCCGAAACGAGACTTGGCAGGGTGCCTGAGGCACATTCCTCAGTACATCCTTGGAAGCTGACAGAAGATCCTCGCGCAGGCGATGGATGTAGTCCTTGCTCGGCCGATGGGAGCACAAGATCAAGGGCCGAGGCCTGGGCTTGGGTTGCGGGCATAGTATGGGAGTTCCATTAATAACTAGATAGTCCCTGCTCCTGAACAAGTGCACCTCAGATCTCACTAGAAAAGCCGAGGTGACCATAAACCCTTTTTTACACAGGCTTGATTGGAGCTCGCCCGGCCAATGTCCCCCGCAGCACATCGCTGACCATAAACCCTAAACCCTAAACCCTAGTGTCCATCGTCTGGTGGGAGAGGAAGTTCTGTCGCGCAAAGCCAGCCTTGCCGCGCTTCCAGCCCTCGTAGGCCTCAGCACACGGATTTTGACGCGAAGAAATAGTACATGAAAGTGTTGTACCATCTGTTAGAGTGAAAATACTCGTATATAACAATATACTATCATACGGTATACTGTAATATACTGTAGTATGGCATAACAGAGAACAGAAGCCTAGCTTCCCTTTCCGGTGTATCTCCAAACTCCGGAAGCGCACTGATGCCAAGCATAAGCCGGTGGATACTGTACGATTTTTAAGTGGGCATCTCTTGTTCTGTCGCGCTTTTTGGGTTGGGTTTTACGTAGAATCGGGTTATGTGAGACATTCTTTTGGAAATACAGAAGGCTAGCAGGGGGACACTTTTTACTAATCATTCCGACGTCTATATTAGGGCTTCAGGATTGCAAGTTCTTCGTCCCGTTTCTGTCCGCGACAGGGAACGTTGACCAAGGCGATGAGATCCGACTTGGACCCGTCGGCTAGGGCAGCCTTCGCCTGATTTGCTTCTTTTTCCAGACCCATGGGGCAAAGAAAGGGTGACTTGTATCCCAGAGATGCACAAATCGTAATCATCATGTGGTAGCACTTGAACGGAACAGCTAGCAGCAGCATCTTTGCCAGCATGGGGTGGACCTGTATCTTCGCCAGTGCCGCACCCAAAGGCGTCAGGGTCTTCCCGGTCGGGTCCGTCACAGCTCCCAAACCGTGCAGCAGTTTCAAGGCATGACGGACAACGTCCTCTTTCGGCGGGCTGATGGCCTCTCGCAGGAAGTCGGCGGGTGGGCCCAGGCCGAGGGATGAGACTTCCATGCACAGCTCCTCCAAAGGAGAGCGCTGCATCTCCGGCAGAGCATACTCCTCCATGGCCTCCCACTGACAAGAGCTGAAGAGCCGATACCAAACACCCGGCCGGCAGCGTCCGGCACGCCCCCGTCGCTGGAAGCCATTCGCCTTGGAGTACCACACCGTCCGAAGCGCTGAGATCATCGAGGTCTCGTTGAAAAAAGTGGTCCGCGCACGGCCGGGGTCGATGACGTACACAATGTCTTCCACAGTAATTGATGTCTCGGCCAGAACCGTTGAGATCACGACTTTCCGTCGCCCAGCTGGCGAAGGCTTGAAGATGGCCTGCTGCTCCCACGTGGGGATGCGCGAGTGCAGAGGATGTATTGCCAGCTGGTGCTTGCAGCGGCACTTCTCAAGCCGTTCGATGGTTTGAGTTATCTCAAACCATCCTGGCATAAAGATGAGAACGCCTCCTTAGCTGCAGGGTAGGCAAACACCCTCCCTACATATTCATGAACTGTGCAACTCAGCCTCCTTCTTTACCGGAATCGTGGATTGCCTGCACTAGGGAGGCCGTCAGGTCATAGTCGATATTCTGAGCCATCTCCCCATGCACATCAGCGATGTCCCAGACGACATCCTCCGCAGAACCCAAGCCCCAAGCAGTTAGCAACGGAGAAGGGCCCTGTGGCATTGGGCCGTTGCCACCGCCACATATACCCGAAACCTTCGACCCAAGAAGTGAGCCATCGAAGGGTTTTGAGGGTGTTTTAGGCCTCTAGGCTTTATGGATAGGCAGGCCGGGACCCTCAAACTAATGCCATTAATACTGAATAGTATCAGTACTACTAGTACGATCTTTTGGATACTGCTAACACTATTCATACTCATACTATCAGTCCTCTGGCAGCTGTGGGAATGCGGCTCTGATTGCCGCCGACCCTTGAGGGACACCAGGCAGTGGGCCCATTGCGAAAGCGGATGCCTCCGCATGGGTGGTTCGAAAGTCAGGGTGACGATATTCTACGGTTGTGCACCTCCCGATGTGATGGAGTTGACGATGTAAGGAGTGTTGTTTAGGTTGGACCTTGCGGCTGGAGGTTTACGCTCTCACGGTCATGGTCTACAACAACCTCGGCGTGAAATGACGTGAGATGGCATGCAAACATGCTCCTGCAAAACTCTACGGGTGCCGTTCATGTGCTAGACTATATACACAAGCAGAATAGACATGATCACGATCACTACGGTGCGCTGCAACTTACAGCACAGTCTACACGCTGGCTCAACACCCTCTCTACAATCTCTGCCTCAGCATGGAAGGTTCACATGCATTCACACAAGATTGCAGCCGATTTGGGCCATTGCTCGTGCTTTGGCTTCTCTTGGGGAATGGAACTTCTTTCTGGTTTAGTGTTGTGGACATTCTGACGTTGTCTGTCATGATAACGATTAAGTTTTGTCAGCGTTGCTATTGCTATGGTGCCGATTGCTATTATTAGAATTTCGCGTTGTTGCTATTTTGCAAAGTCTGACCATTATAACTATTCCTGCCATTACTATTGTTACTTTGGCTTCTTGTCCCCGTTGGCTTCTAGGCGCTTGAGGGGCTTCCAGCTTGACCTGCTTCGAGTGTACACCGATGGCCTTGCTCCACTGCTGCCGCCGAGCATCCCGCCATGCCTTCGGGAGCCACCCGGCAGTTCATAGAGGGGCCTTTTATTATTGGAACAGGATTCCTTGAGAGGTTCCTTGAAAAGGGATCTCAAAGGGTCTCTTCAACGGTGTACGTAAAGGCTTTAGTATAGGGGCCTTAATAAATACAATAAGGTTACCTTAGTTACTTTGTCCGTTCTGTACAATGAATGAGCCCAGGGAAAAGTAATGGTAATTTTCCAACCCTATATTCGAGGGCTTAAAGACTTTTAGCCTCGGGTTGAAGCTTCAGGGTTTGAGGATTTAGCCTCAACACTCACTGGCTGGTGGAGGCTCGTTTTTGCTCTCTCCGTCCAGCTTTTGGCCGTGTTTGCTCGAGCTAGCTCTCTGTCAGTGGATGTAGTCTTCCTGCCTGAGCACTTGAAAGTCGGAACCGGAACCCTGAACCTGATCCGCAAGAAGCAGCTGTGCCCAAGGGTCTAACAAGCGGCCTTGCGACTCTGCGTTGAGAGCTGAGGCAACAAGTCTTCCTCCGGGCCGCTCCATAAAATGCTATCGACGAATGCAGTTATCACTAGTGGTACTACTACTAGTACTACTCCTACTGCTACTACTACTACTACTACTACTACTACTGCTACTACTACTACTACTACTGCTACTACTCCTACTACCACCACTACTACTACTACTACTACTACTACTACTACTACTGCTACTGCTACTACTACTACTACTACTACTACTACTGTTACTACTCCTACTACCACCACTACTACTACTACTACTACTACTACTACTACTACTACTGCTACTACTACTACTCCTACTGCTAGTGCTAGTGCTAGTGCT